AATCTGAAAAAGGGTCAGGAAGTGTAATTCTGTGAACACGCTGCAAAGCAGCGCCGCTTCATGTGTTGGAACAAAGCTATTAACTCAGTGGCCACCTAACGAGCTAACCACAGTGATCAATACTGCACCGCTGCACACAGGTACCACACCCAGAACCCGAGAACATGTTAGAAAACCTTTTCACACAGAGGTTGTGTTAGGAGGGAAACTAGGCTCTGTGTGATAAGGGTTCTATGACGACGTTCCCTGTGTGATAAGGGTTCTATGACGACGTTCCCTGTGTGATAAGGGTTCTATGACGACGTTCCCTGTGTGATAAGGGTTCTATGACGACGTTCCCTGTGTGATAACGGTTCTATGACGACGTTCCCTGTGTGATAAGGGTTCTATGACGACGTTCCCTGTGTGATAACGGTTCTATGACGACGTTCCCTGTGTGATAAGGGTTCTATGACGACATTCCCTGTGTGATAACGGTTCTATGACGACGTTCCCTGTGTGATAACGGTTCTATGACGACGTTCCCTGAGTGATAACGGTTCTATGACGACGTTCCCTGAGTGATAACGGTTCTATGACGACGTTCCCTGTGTGATAAGGGTTCTATGACGACGTTCCCTGTGTGATAAGGGTTCTATGACGACGTTCCCTGTGTGATAAGGGTTCTATGACGACGTTCCCTGTGTGATAAGGGTTCTATGACGACATTCCCTGTGTGATAAGGGTTCTATGACGACGTTCCCTGAGTGATAACGGTTCTATGACGACGTTCCCTGTGTGATAAGGGTTCTATGACGACGTTCCCTGTGTGATAACGGTTCTATGACGACGTTCCCTGTGTGATAACGGTTCTATGACGACGTTCCCTGTGTGATAAGGGTTCTATGACGACGTTCCCTGTGTGATAACGGTTCTATGACGACGTTCCCTGTGTGATAAGGGTTCTATGACGACATTCCCTGTGTGATAACGGTTCTATGACGACGTTCCCTGTGTGATAAGGGTTCTATGACGACGTTCCCTGAGTGATAAGGGTTCTATGACGACGTTCCCTGTGTGATAACGGTTCTATGACGACATTCCCTGTGTGATAAGGGTTCTATGACGACGTTCCCTGTGTGATAACGGTTCTATGACGACATTCCCTGTGTGATAACGGTTCTATGACGACATTCCCTGTGTGATAACGGTTCTATGACGACGTTCCCTGTGTGATAACGGTTCTATGACGACGTTCCCTGTGTGATAAGGGTTCTATGACGACGTTCCCTGTGTGATAAGGGTTCTATGACGACGTTCCCTGAGTGATAACGGTTCTATGACGACGTTCCCTGTGTGATAACGGTTCTATGACGACGTTCCCTGTGTGATAAGGGTTCTATGACGACGTTCCCTGAGTGATAAGGGTTCTATGACGACGTTCCCTGTGTGATAAGGGTTCTATGACGACGTTCCCTGTGTGATAAGGGTTCTATGACGACGTTCCCTGTGTGATAACGGTTCTATGACGACGTTCCCTGTGTGATAAGGGTTCTATGACGACGTTCCCTGAGTGATAACGGTTCTATGACGACGTTCCCTGAGTGATAACGGTTCTATGACGACGTTCCCTGTGTGATAAGGGTTCTATGACGACATTCCCTGTGTGATAAGGGTTCTATGACGACGTTCCCTGTGTGATAAGGGTTCTATGACGACGTTCCCTGAGTGATAAGGGTTCTATGACGACGTTCCCTGTGTGATAAGGGTTCTATGACGACGTTCCCTGAGTGATAACGGTTCTATGACGACGTTCCCTGTGTGATAACGGTTCTATGACGACGTTCCCTGTGTGATAAGGGTTCTATGACGACATTCCCTGTGTGATAAGGGTTCTATGACGACGTTCCCTGTGTGATAACGGTTCTATGACGACGTTCCCTGTGTGATAAGGGTTCTATGACGACGTTCCCTGTGTGATAAGGGTTCTATGACGACGTTCCCTGTGTGATAACGGTTCTATGACGACGTTCCCTGAGTGATAACGGTTCTATGACGACGTTCCCTGTGTGATAAGGGTTCTATGACGACGTTCCCTGTGTGATAAGGGTTCTATGACGACGTTCCCTGAGTGATAAGGGTTCTATGACGACGTTCCCTGTGTGATAAGGGTTCTATGACGACGTTCCCTGAGTGATAAGTGTTCTATGACGACGTTCCCTGTGTGATAAGGGTTCTATGACGACGTTCCCTGTGTGATAAGGGTTCTATGACGACGTTCCCTGTGTGATAAGGGTTCTGTAAGGACACTTTTCCTGTGCTGCAGCAGTGAAACCGGAGCACTCTGTGTATCTGTAGCTCGGACTGAAACTCGACTCCTGCAGAACGTCGGCTGATGAAACCCGAGGAGAATCTTTCTGTTTGCAAACTGAACTGCAGAATTTGGAGGAAGGCTAAAAATACTACACACAATACTCTCAATGCATGTACATAGAGGTACTTTGGAGTACTCTGAGGTACTTCAGTGCTTACCAAGTTCAACATGTCAGATGTTCTCTGCAAGAGTTCTCCTGTAAAGTTCTGTAACAGTTTCATAAAAAAGCTGCGCACTCCCTTTAAATCTGTTCCTCGTTAACCTTCTTAATGACATCACAGGTGTCACCTGCCTGCTGGTTACAGGTGATCACGCTGTGAGGATCAGAGACCTTCTACCTCTGATCATGTCCACTGATCGATTGATTGATTGACTAATTGAGTGAGTGAGTGTCAGGGGTTGGTCACCTGTAGGCCCCGCCCTCTCTGACTCACCTCCTTCTCACAGATGAACAGCTGGTCTCCTCTCAGAAAGACAAAGCGGTTCTTCCAGATCTCTCTGAAGATCCCTTTGCCGCAGAACTTCCTGATCCAGCCCACTTTATCAGGCGGCGCGTTCTGCGGCGCCGACTCGGACGCGCCCTGAGACAAGAAACAGGAAGCCGACAGAGCAGGTGAGGAGCAGGGAAACCTGTCAACACGGCTCCAGAAGCTCAGCCTAAATCAACCTCATCTCCTCAGTTTGTATTTTTAGTCTTTGTTTATAATACTCTACTTGTGTTTCTATTCATGCTTCTATTGCTGTTTCTACTCTGTTTTCTGTTGTGTACAGACTGGGAGACACTGATTTCTATTACTCTGTTTCTTCATCCTCACCTGTGTGGACAGACAGGTGTGTGTAGCACCGACAGAGCCCGCCTCTAACTGCTTTCATTCTGAGTTCAGCCGGTTTGGGGTCAGATGGTTGTTATGCAAGTCCATTAAAGGCTGTAACTGAAACTGGAGCTGCTGAGCAGATTAACCATCACACCACATTCAGGTCACTTTAAAGCCTCCAGGACCGGCCTGGACCTCACAGACCCTCACAGACCGGGTCACTGTTAAAAACATCACTTCTCCGTCTGTTTGTTGGCCTTTTGGCACTTTTTAAGCATCAGCAGAGTGAGGCCTTTATTATGAAAACCGGACGTGGGTTCTTGAGAAGCCTGCAGCTCTCTGCCTTCAGAATAAAACTAATCCTCGGGCTTTTGTTCTTCGAGTTCTGCTTTAACGGAGAGAGCCCCGGGGGTCGCCCTCTGTCCCGGTATCACTCACCCGTTTCCCGGAGCTGCTCCTCTTCATGCTGCCGGTGTCCGGCGGCTGATCGCGACACTTCTCCCACTTTCACGGGAACTCCGTTATCCGCTCGATGGAGACTCGGAGAGCCGTTAAAGCAGTCAAACTCCTGCAGGGGAGACCGGAGCCTCCGCCTCAGCTCCGCCGCTCCACGGCTCTGTTGCTCGGTGTCACTGTGCTGAGCGACTCGCTGCTGTGGCTGCCGCCGGGCTCCGCCGCACTCTGACCGGCCAGCAGCCACTCCGTGCTTGGGTGTCCGGTTACTCCTCCTCCCTGTCCCCCCTCCCCGCCTGCCCGCTGGCTCAGCGGCTCATCGGCAGCCCGGAAGCGCCCCCTCCGGCGGACAGCGGGAGTGGCCGAGAATGAGAGCTACTGAAAGCGCTGACGTCACAGGGTGGGCAGTAACGCTCGAGCCTGCAGTTCCTCTGGTGTCCAGCAGAGGCTCCGCTGCCTCCGACTGGGAGGACAGTCTCCTCCTTTTGGGCTGAACAGACCCGAGACCTGAAGCTGAGCCTGGTTCCAGCTTTAGCTTCAGGAAACACGCGGCACTCTCTGTAATCCCACAGACATCTGTGCTAATCCACAGCATGATGTAGATTATGGCGTGTTCACAGAGATAATCCACGAGGGTGAAATGTGTCACACAGACGCCGCCTGCGCCTGGCGAAGGAAACTGACCTCAGCCTGTGGACACAAGCGGGGGAGAGAGGAGGAGGGAGGTGATCTCTAAAGTACTGACAAATATCTGAAAGCCTCAAACTCCAAAAAATGAAATAACTGCTGGTGATTTATGGATGGAGGTGAGCACCATCAGCTCACAGCGAGCGCGTCATTGGTCAAGAAACCAAACGACTCAAATGTAGAGAAACTAACTTTAATCAGAATGACGATAAAACGCTTTCTCCGACCCTGCTCACCGAACCAACACGACCGCCCGTCTTTACTGTGCTCCATTACAGGATCTTTAATTAGTGCCCTCCTGTGGCCGTCGCATGAACTGCAGCTCGTGCTTGCACTGTTAGCATTGACCAAAACTGTGATGAAACGCGCATCAGGCTGCCCCAACATCCTCATCAACTCTGAAATCATGCCATGAACTGCAGACTGCAGTTTTGGTTTGCAGATGGTGTCCGCAAACTGCAGACGCCATCTGCAGACGCCGCGTCCTCACGAGTCTGCAGCTGCTCTGCCGTCCTCGTCTCTAGATCTGCATCGGGTTGATCTGACAGATGTTTCCAGGTTCGGCTCTGATCTGGAGTCAGTTTCAGTCCCAGTGTAGATCACAAACTGGGTCACAGCGAGAGGTGGCGGCTCATCTGCAGATTATCCCCGACCCCATCATTAAAGGGACAATCCGCCCAAAACAACAGCAGCAGATTAGAGCCGCAGGTTCAACCCGATCAGCTCGGACTCACCAGCAGCCGACACCCACGGCCAACAGCACTGCTCACCTATAAATAATAATAAACAGTAACAATGAAAAAATAACTTCAAAAAATAAATAAATGATTAAAAAGGAAACTCTGAAAACTCAGAAATTGTTAAATTAAATAGAAAAATATTAAAATAAGGAACTGACAAAAATCAATTCAAATCATAAAAATCGTAACAAATAAAAACACCAATTGTTAAAGTAATAATTATGAAGACAACTGGAAAAGATATCAAAACATATAATAATAATAATAATAAAATATAAATATTAATCTAAAAATGCTTTCATGACATAAATCCAAAAATAAAAACGTATCAAAGTTTTGTGACAAGTGACCTGCAAGTTTTACGAAAGTAAAACCTGATTTTATAAACGATTTATTTTTAGTGTTTCATGAGACGCCCAATCAGATCGAAGCTGAGACTCACTGCCTTTGGTCTGTGACGCCCTCTGATGGTTTCTGGGTGAAGTGCAGCAGTGTCTGAACGATCACAAACATCAGCACAGAAACGTCATGTTATTTTTTATTCATTACAAAAAAAAAATAACAGCTGGCAGCTCCAGTCAGACCAGTCGGCCTCGCCGTGCTGCTGCACACGCTCGGTTTCCCTTTAATGAAGCAGATCCTGAAACGAAGCTGGGAGGTACGGAGGTGAAACTGAAACAGGTTCCTCTGCTCGGCCTGCAGGGACCGGCGGATCCCTGAAGTCTGACAGCGTTTAAAGGTCAAAGTTCAGACGCAGCAAAACAAACGAATCAATCCAAGAAACTGAGATCAGCAAAAACAGTTTAATTCACCCAGAAAGACATTTACACACGTTTCACTTCAGGGGGCGCTCTGCACATTCAGCGTGGCCAAAGTCTGAAATGATGAGGTCACCACGTGTCACAAAGGTGCACGAGCTCCTCGCAGCAGTTTGTAGATGATTTAGCTCCTTTATGATCAGGACACGCTACAAGAAAAAATCAAACTTGGCAATAATCACTCCAGACGTCACAACTGATTCATTTTTCATCCCAGAAAGAAAAAGAAAAGCGGTCACCGCACCGCGCTGCTAACATCCACACGTTTACGTGGCGTGTGAGCAACGCTGCAACTCAAACAAGTAACGTTTGCTCACGTATTTGTGAAGAAAACCTTTTATTTATTAAACAAACAAAGACTTTTGGCGTACTCGTGACTTAGCATGCTAACAGGCGACGGTGAAAAGCCACGGCGAGTTTGAACCTTCACCTTCGTGCTGGATGTCCGTAGATGCTAACAGGGTTTGTTTCGGCGTGAATAATACCGTCTGGTGTTTTTGATCATTTGAAATCCACCACCATAAATCAGCACCGATCAGCTGATCGATCGGGCAGGTCGGGTTTTTTTCCTTCAAAACAGGAAGTCCGGTTTCTACATCTCATCGGCGTGTCCCGGTTTGGCCTGATCGCGCCGTCCTCCTCGGACCGTCGACTTCTGGCCGAGGGCGCCGGGTTCCGTCTGCTCGGCAGCAACCACCGAGCCGTTTCCCGACCGGCTCCCCTCCGTACCGTCTGCGGCTGCGTGTTCGTGGTTTTCTGTTGGTTCTGGGAGATTCGACGTTCCCTCAGGAGGTTTTGATTGGCTGAGAGCGGGGGACTCAGACTGCAGGGACGTCGCACCGTAGGCGTCGTCTGAGGTCGGCTGAGAGGACGACGGATCCGTCAGGATGTTTCTGGAAATCACTGGAAAGATGAAAAAATAAATCATGAGTCCAGCGGTTTGACGTGCCGAGGAGAAAACGCGACCGAAGTTATTCCTAGGATTCATTTTCCAGTCTCTGAGGCAACATTCCTGCCACACCGACAACATGAGACCAGGATTTACCGCGTTTACCTGTGTCGCCATATTTACACAGCGAGCGTCAGGAAGCGCTCGAGCGCCTGAAGAACTATTTTTATTTAAAATGTTCAATCCTACAAACTCTCAGCTTCCCCAAAAGCCTCCATCTAAACCCTGTGCTGCCATCACAGATGCTCAAACAGGAAGTGATGTCATCAGGGACCAACCTCCTGTGGGTCTGTAGTCGTCATCTGCACGGTGGCGGCTGAACGGGCTGAAGCTCGGCAGGATGATCAGACCGAGAGAGACGAGGATGATCTGAAGACACACGAGGAGCAGGGTCAGAGTGTGTGTGTCTGTGTTCCTGTCTAGCTGTCATTGTGAGGACCGAAATCTGCATTCTACTATACTTGTGAGAACAGTCACTTGTGAGGACACACAACCCGGTCCTCACAAGTCTGAAGACATTTTTGAAGCTCAAAATGTGGTTTCAGTGTCAGGGTTACAATTCGGTTATGGTTAGGTTTAGGGTCAGCATTCATTCATGGTTAGGGTTATTAAGGTCAATGAAGGTCCTCACTAAGATAGCTGAACGGGCTTGTGTGTGTGTGTGTGTGTGTGTGTGTGTGTGTGTGTGTGTGTGTGTGTGTGTGTGTGTAGGAGCAGAACTAAAACAAACAAACAAAAACAAAACAGACTTCATTCCACCTTAACGGGTTTAAGGTGGTCGTACCAGTAGGCAGGTGCTGGTCTGGGCTCCTTTACTGACCGTCTGCTTGATGAGAGACTGAAGCTGCTGCAGCTGAGCCAGCAGAGAGCTGAGGAGCAGGAACACAGGGGCTGGTTAGGGCTTACCTGAGCAGGTGAACCAATCAGCAAGCAGCAAACTCAGCAGGAAGTTCAAGAAGAAACTAAAAAGTAAATCTGACTGTTTCAGACAGACTCAGGTCCTCGTGACCGAGCTGTCCGAGGTTCACATTTAAAGTGAGAGCACAGTGCCCCCTGCTGGTGGGAGTCAGAACCACAGGGAGGTCTCCCTGATGTGGATGTTTCTGATCCTGTTTGTGACAGAAGTGTCTGGAATAACATGTCTGTGGTATTCATGTCACCAAACTGTGTGAGATTACAATAAAACCTACAGAGTGTGAGCTCGACATCGTTCCCTGTGTTTATGTCACAGGAAGTGACCTCTCTGTGACCTCAATAATCAGCAAAGCGTGTTCATACTTGTTACGTTTCTCCAGCTGCTCCACCGTCCGCTGCAGCTCTTTGTTCTGCATCGAGCACGCCGCCGCCCTGTCAGCGCACACACACACACACGCGCACACACACACACACACACACACACACACACACACACACACACAGGTGTTACCATGGGGACCTCTGTGCAGACTTGAACAGGACATGAAGCCGTACATGTAAAGGTTATTTACATCACCGCTCACACAGACGTAACTCTGCCTGTGAGGCTGAGAGCTTTAAAAACACGTTTAGCGCCGTCTTCGTTAATGACAGTTTAACGCCAGTAACCCGGCGACGCCGCTCGGTGTCAAGGCGTAACTTTCTGTCGCTCTGCGGTTTCATCACCAATACAACAGGTGGCGCTGAGGTTTCTCTAAGCTGAAGAAGTCGCAGGAGGAAACACAATATGGGGCGGGGTTTGTGGTCACGACGGACCTATAGCATCGATTTAACACACAGCTGTGACTCCCTCATTACTCTGAACCCACAACAAAAACACATCTGAGCCGCTCTGGCTGACACAGAGCGAGCCCCTCCTTCTCCTGCTCATAGCAGCCAATCTGCAGGTGAACGTGTGACAACGCCGCCCTCATCCAGCGTTAACCCTCGTGACGCGGACTGCGACACTGGAGACGGCTGAAGTTCAGCGGGGTCACGACCCCTGGAGGATGGAAGGAAGTTCAAATTGAAAGTGAGAGCAGATAAATGAAGGCGGGGGGGCGAACTATCGACTCGCTGAAAAAACCTCACAACACGTCTGGAAATGGAGCCTCTGTCAGCGACGCGGCGGCGGTCAGCTGGCCGGTTACCTGCTCTCCAGCCCGTCGATGTACTCCTTCCTCCGCCGCCGGCTGTCCTGAGCCGACTGCTTGTTGCGGATCTTCCTCCGGACCTTCTTCAGAATTCGCTCCTCGGCCTGTGAATAAAGTTCGGTTCAAAGTCAGCAGCGTGCACCTGACACAGAAACGCGGCGGCCTGAGAGCATCTGTGCACCCGACCTTGGTGAGGGGGAGGTTGTTGGGCAGCGACACGCCCTCCTGGGTCAGCAGCTTCTGCTCCTCCTCGGTCAGCTGAAGATCCAGGCACAGCTGCAACACAAGAAGAAGAATGAGTCGTTAGGGCGGAGCCTGACGAAGGACAAGGAAAAAAAAAAAAAAAGGAAACAGAGGCTCACCAGGTCGTCGTCAAGGCTGGGAGGAGGGATGGCGAGCCGTGGCGCCGAAACCACAGGTAGTTCGCTCACGACGCACGAGTCCGACAGCAGCAGCTGAGAGCTCCACTGATCTGCAGAGAGAGCGCACCACCGTTAACGACGCCACTCCTTCCTGTTTCTGCCGCGCTTACATCACACTGTCGATTTTTTCTTTAAATGGGTGGAGTCATAGTTTTTGGCTTCACACCAGGTCGTTTAACAGGAAGCTGAAAGCTTCAGTCTCGTGCCGTGAACGCCACCTAAAAATATTAAACAATGATTTAAAATCATCATCGTTCCAAACTAACCATGACGTCACCAGCAGGGGGCAGTGTTTCATCCATGTGCAAAACCAGCTCGCAGTTTCACATCAGAACGAGTTCGTAATTAAATTCAATTAACTTTGTTCATGTAGCGCCAAATCAATCGCTTTATATTGTAAAGACCCTCCAAACATAGAGACAAACACTCAAGCACTTTGGCGACAGTGGGAAGGAAAAACTCCCCTTTAACAGGAAGTAACCTCCAGCAGAGCCAGGCTCGGGAGGGGCGGGACCATCTGAGGGACCACTGAGCTGGGCATCATCTGCATAGCAATGAAAATGTATGCTATAGCTTCTGTTAATACTCACACGCCCCCTGGTGGAGACACCGGTACTACACTAAAGTTGGACTTCAGCTGATTCTCAGCATGAAT